AATCCTCCGCGATACCCTGGCTACTCAGCCCACGAGAATGGTAGAGGGGCTGGTCCTGTGAATACACACACACGGGAAGGATTCGTACACGAAAACTAAAGAGGCTCGATATTCAGTAACAATAACAAAAGAAGTAGAAAATATATTAACACTTAGCTCTCTTGAGCCTAAAGAAAATACAAAATACGCAAAACCGTCGTAATGCGAAATAATGTACGCGAAGAAAAGCAACATCAAATAAATATACATTACGAAGTCCACCGGGAAGCGGTAGACAACGGATTCATCCGCAGAGGACACTCCAGGGCACTTGGTCACTCAAATACAAACGAAATAGATAATTTCTTACAATATGATACAAGGTATTTAGATACAAATCATAGAACGATATCCCAGCATAGAATACTCGTCAAACGGGAAAGCAAACACCGGACGGGAATGTTCAATGCAGGTCACCGGAATCGTTGCCGATTCCGGGCAGCACTCTACTGACTCTACTATAATATGCTGGCTCGTTAATCAAACGGATGTTAACTGGTAACGCAAGGGCTCCCCTCACAATGATCCGGGAGCAGGTTACAATTACGAACAATTATCAAATTACTTTACTAAAGCTAGTGTCGAGACAAAAATAGAAAAACCGGCACTCGCACGAACGGTAAGCGGACGAATTTCATTCCGTCGTTGACGGGACGTAGGTGGATGGTGCCGTCGTCCTTGGCGACGCCTATGATCAGTCGGGATCGGCACGATAATACTGATCCGTATTCGTCGTCTCTCCCTCCTCGGCAGCTTCCTTCGATTTGCTGGATCCTTAACACCGGCTTCCCTGCCGGTTCACCCGAAACCTCGATATTCTCCTCCTGTGACCCTCGCCCTCCTGGCGACCATGGGGCCCATGGGGCCCCTCCATCTGGTAACGTCCTCGATATCTCCACCTTCCTTCGGCTTGTCTGCTGGAGCTCCCATAATCCGGGAAAGTCGTTGAATTCCGCTTGTCCGCCGTGCCGAGTTTACCAAAGATACAAACAAAATATAATTAATTAATCTATTTTTCGTAATCATTAGTGACCCTGGAGTGTCGATTGTCCGTACGAGTGCCTCGGGGTACGGGACGTAAATTCATCTCGTAACAACAAAACGGTATCCTGCCCATAGTGGCGGAACATGAAAAATGTAACGTCACAATATATATATATATATATATATATACGTCAAAAGTGACATATACCTATATACACGCTATATAGAAAAGTGCATAATTAATAAAAAATACAAATATTTCTAAATGGACTTATTAAAATCAATCACGTAATTGGCTAATTAAATCCCCCCCCCCTGATACAGTCTATCAATGGCAAATTAAGATATAAAACTTTTGAACCACCCTGTACAATACACCAACGGTATATCGAACGTATATAACGGTGTCAGTAGGTGAAAATAATTTTCCTGCAAATTGTATCGATTTTGTGGCTGATGGTCGTTCGATATAATATTGATTGCAAGGCTGCTTCTAACCTAGAAAAGCTATTCCGTATACTGTTGCTAAGGGTCCTTGAAATATTACGTGGGATTACGCGCGAGTATTCGCAAAGGCGTCGAACAATGGACGTCGGGGGAATGTTCCGCGAATAAATCATACGGTCTAATGCTAGCTGATGCATTCGATCGGTTTTGATGCAACGCGAATGACTAACAGTGTCGGTGCGTAATAAATATGCAGTTTATAAATAACCCTAGGAAGGAACAATATCGGATTTATACTTCTGCCGATATCTCGTCCCATATCGAAATCCCGGTTAGCAGTAACGCGAATGGCGTATCTACCGTTGCAAAAGTTACTTCGATAATGATCAATTTGTAATGCCAGCGGTACCCGACTGTGACGTAGGGGATTTTTAGCACGTTGCGATCCATATCCATGGACTAAAATGCGTCACGTTATACGTGTAAGAGAATTTGACTTATATATATATATATATAAACGTCAATCACTCACAATCAACGCATCCGGTGATACCAATTTAATTTAATACAGCAAACAGGTTATGCTGACTGTATCTTAAATTTCGTCTATTAATTTTTTCGTGATTCTATTAACAGCGAAATATAGGTAACAGTCAGTTATTATCTGATAAAATGATAGAGGGATAAATTTTTAAAAAATTTATACGAATATATGCGCGATATGCAGGAACATGTCATTTTTGAAACAGGAGGTGATGCGCGTGTGTGACTGATGACTTTTTGGGTATAGATATTGTGTAGTCTCATTAATAACAATTGAAGAGACTTTTATTGGCAGGGATCTTGATGTATGAGTAATGAAAAAAAAAAAAAAAAAATTATATGAATTAATCAAATGTGTTATTTATTGATGTGGATATATGGTTTTGAATTCTAATTATATGGTTTTTTTTTTACTATTTACGTTGCAGTAGCCAATACATATATATTCACGGTAGAGAAAATACATACCGTGAGACACGTTTTTAAGTCCGGTACATGCATTTCTATGATTTACCGAAAAAACTCGTTTTACTCTAGTGGCCGTGACTCTGCTGTAATGAAACTATATAAATATTCAAAGAATCTCATATTCGGTCGGTTCTTTTTATGTTAATCGTCCACAGGGCGTGGTGGTCGATTTTCTTTTCGATCGTGACTGGCGGTATAATAGACGTAAGACACGTGAACAGGATTTTGTGTGACTTTAAGCATTGCGTCGAATGACTTTCATTGAGAAAAGAGTGAAAAGAGGATAGAATTAAAAAAGGAGGAAGTAAAGATAAGATTTATAAGTGGTTGAAGTATACATAAAAAAAAAAAAGTTTAGAAAAATTTTAAACGCGTTCCAATATCCATTAGTGGTGAAACAATAAAAATCGACTCATCGACCGATCGAGAATGATGGTTCAGATGCGATTGATTCGGAAGTCCAAAGATCACGTGTTTGACCCTGATTTGATAAGAGGATAAAAAAATTCAAACATTTTGAATTCATTGCATCGTGAAATAATCGTTGATCGATTGTTTGTACTGTCATTGTGATATTGAGAAAAATGTCAATCGATATCTCACGCGTAATTGTTATTGTTGTTATATAGATTTGATAAGAATTGAAATGTCGGAGATTCAGGGCTCAGAGGATTCTTCGATTTTTTGTTATAGCAATAACATGTGTGTGAATCTGAAACAGGCGGCTTGGTATCGGCACTGGGACTACGTGCTGCACGTGAATTGAATTTCAAAATATATTTTGTGGTTCCTTTTGTTTGTTTTTTTATTTTGACTTCCTCGAAACTGCAACCGACTTGCAAATGTCATTTCGGTGAAAGGAAACTTTGACCTGTCGTAATGTGAAACGTGGGTGACTTTAATCGGTCATCTGTCTGAAATATTGCTGTCGGTATTGCAGGAATTTTTTTCACAAAATTACCGTCATGTGTGTGTGTGTGTATATATATATATTTTACATATACACTATACACACTAATTTATATATACACTAATTTTATAATGTTATGAAATTATTTTCAATGATTCGTGCAATTATCAAAATATTCGAATAATCGCAAATTTATGTTGTACCATTTGTATTTTAATTATTGAGGTTAATTGGTCCTTGCAGAAATTCCATTAGGCGAAATGCGTTTATTTAATTTTACATAACTGACAATTGATTAGCTAAAACATTGTCCGACGATATGTACGAAGTCAATTTCGCGTTAATTAAAATTCTTATTCTTTTTTCAAAATATTCTTAGAGATTAATCTTGGAAAAATTTCTTGAATCAAAGTTGTACTATAGATACTTAATTTATTATGTATATATATTTAACGCAACCCGAAATCCGGTGGGTTTCGTATGCAAATGTCATAAAATTTATTAATGGAAACTTTAATTTTTATCGTTGTTTAGGTTCACGTATCTTTGTTGCCTTATAAATTAACTTCTACGCGATATCCTCTAAGGGGAAACCTCTTGGCAAATAATTCCTGTTATCATAACAATACGATATATTTAACACATTCAGGTTCATTCATATCGGTTTATTAATATTTTATACGAAATTTTTCCAGCGATGTTGTCGTACGCGCGCGGCTTCTCTCCTTTGGTCTTTTTTACCTAAGGCATGGATGTCAAGCTTTATCAGTTACTTTTAATAGCATTTAATTTTCTCATTACGGAAGTACAAAAGAGGTGCTGTTGGCGCCTTGCGGGTAATTATAAAAATAGAAAAAAAAGAATGCCCCAGTCCATGACGTCAGTTTTAAAATGAAAATATCAAAACAAAAAAATTATCTGACAGCCCGTGACTTTCAGTGATTGCAATTCCTGGTAGACAAGCCTGAATTAATATCGATTCTCTACCTTTCCGTAAAGATGTATTCAAACACGTGGGTATTACGCACAACACGTAGACTGACATATCGAAAGAATTAATGAAGATAAATTTCAAACGATTCTGCGTTATCTAATAATTAGTATATTTATATAATTGTAAAAGAGGGAATCTGAGTAACGCAAGATCAAAGTCAAACAATTGCCTGGTAATACCGGCCCTCAGTTAAATATAAATCTTATTCACAACAATCCGCAGTACATTTCAATCGTTTCAAAAAATATTCCAAGTCAATGTAAACAGATAATAATCCTAAGATTCAAGCGTCTTCGAAAACCAAGCATGTTGCCCTTGAAGAAAAAAAGTTCTAGATACACTCTAGGAACTTTACGTTCTTACCAGGTCCTAGCTGCACAACGCGTAGGGCCATAACCTTCAAGATACTATCTAGATACTTAGATGTTTAGATAATTAGATCCTTTTACGCTCCACACAACTCATTTGACATTACGTGATGGATCAAGTGGGAGAGTACGTGTCTCCTGTCTGTATACATTAGAACAAAACACATGTGAATATAAGCGCAGTGCGACGTACGTGACGCAGCGTCGAAACGCCCAACTAACCGAACCAAACGAAACGGAACGAAACGAGGGGAACATGCGCCGACCGACGGTCTCGACCCTGGCGTAAAACGTTCTTGATTCCGTCAGTCAGTTCAGTCTTGTTCGGGACTTCGGTCATAACGGTGCTCCTCTTGGATGCTACGGTTTAAGATCACAAATTGAGTCAGTTGAGTGTCTATTGAGAATTAGTTTTTCTCGTTCCTTGTACATATGCTTGTGAAAAAGTATCACGGGCATCTCGAATTTTGCATAGTTTCGTCTACGTCTGAACTCTTTTGAAACCTTCACAGTAAGTCTTTTATTTTTTTTAAATGTATAACTAGGTCGCCGAACTAATTTTACTGAAATAAGTATACTTGATTGAAATTATATTTACATACCTGCATTGCCAAGGTTGACAATTTTTCCACTTTAAAATAAAACACCATGGATACTAACGACGTGTTTTCATGATGGTATTTTATTTGAGAACTTTTCTTGGGATCAAAGTCTCTCGCAGTCTTTCCTTTTTCTCATTAATTCAATGTAATACGGACATTTGTTTTTGTTGAATTATTTATTGATTTCTACTGTAATGTTTCTTTCTTGATCCAGTGACAGTTTTGTACACTTTCTTCCTAATTGATACTTACGCGTTGGGACTCCGCAAGATATTCTTATTTCATAACCTATGTATCTACTTTCATATTCCTATTGAGTACAGATAGTAATAAAAACGAACTATAATGGATTAATTTTATTTCGGAACTTTCTACAGCTCTACGTAGTTGTCAATCGATTTGTTATTACGACCATTAACTTTCACCACAGAAAAAGTTAGGTCGTCGACCCAATCGAGTAAAACTTTTTGTTCTTTTAACCTTGCCTAAAATTGAAATCGATTAATCGAGATAATTATGCGAACGTTCTTGCGAATCTGTAACAAAAGTATCTCGTATCAACATATATCATTTATCAATCGTTTTATAATGTTTATGTAAATGATTTACTATACATCATTTCATTGTTCTCCTTCGAACGTTGGCATATTTTTCTTCAATTAGACAAATTTTTATCACCAACGACAAAATGGAAATTAATTAACAATTCCTTTGTCCGCGATTCCACCACTACTATTGTGCTTGCGATATATTCGTATCGTTATTGAACCAATAATAATAATAATATTTTATACAAGACATAGAAACTTTTTTGCTTCTACAATAACCTCTTTGTATGATTCCTCATATCACTTTAGCATAAAATTACGATATCGCATGCTGCATACGCTTATGTGATTCGGTAACAAAAAAATTCATAAAGCTCCATACTTTATTAATATATCAATTAATTAATCGCATTAATATGATATATATATATATAATATATATATGAATTTGTAACCTTAATTTATCCCAGCTCTAATTTCACAGCAGGGATTGCGAAAACGAAAATTTTTATCAGTAAAAATTTTACGAAAAATATAATGACATGCATTAATATGAGAGAAACTTTCTAATTACTAAATATTTTCGTAGTTATATAGGCAGGTATAATACGTGTTGTAATTCGAAAAATTGAAATCAAAATTACATATGTTCTATCAGCTTGCTCAGAATGTTAGTAGTCTCTCTGGGTCATACGTCTAATCTTCAAGGTGCTTTTCAATTCTGTAACACGTGCGATGGTGTAATAGCCAACTAAATTAAACGTACACGATGTATATTCCTCAAGGGTAATACGCTATTAGTAGATCAGCAAGTCTCCTGATTCATACAGAAAACAACCATCGGGCCGTAGTACCACATGAGAAAATCTAACATAATTTCAAACGTACCACTAGTGCGTCTTCTATTATTAGCTAGCGTCTACAGGGCGTTCGCTAGTGACAAAGGAAGTCAATTACCGAGTCTAAATCTAGCTCGTAGCCACCTACCGGAAGTACTGATGAGTCCTATAAAAATTCCTACACATCTCAACGACTTCGTTATAAAAGGCTTTGCGCGGTAAATTTGAAATGGGCTTTAGAACCAACTCGTTACTTATTACCCTTGAAGTACTGACGTGGGGTCCGGTGATACCCCAGACGCGTTTATCCCTTATATGTACAAAATTAACAACGTGATCACTTCAAGGTTAAGTATAAATAAAATTCTGAAATTAGCGCCCTTTCCTTTTCTCGTGTAAACTTTTCCGAAAAAGACTCGGGAATATAATTACTCGAAAATACGATCTCGAATATTATTATTTCGAAGACGATAAGGACCCGGTCTACCTGTACGGATTGTACGATTTGATATATTTGATTAAGTTTATCGCACGAGTTTGCGGAACCTGCTTATCGTAAAAGTTTTACTCGATAAGTTCGATGCATGTCATTTAATTGCAAATGATAACAACAGTTGCTCATAAGAAACGTCGAAAATCATCTGGTTTCAGGTCTTTTAGCCACGATTTTTTTATATATATACTTGTGTATACATATATATATATATATATATATATATATATATATATATCAGTCACTTGAAGAAAAAACTTTCATTATCCAATCAGGTGTTAAAAATTTCCCAAAAGAATCTACATAAGCAATGTACGATTAACGTACGCTTGGTTATCGAAAGTAATTGTTTAATAATGAGAATAGGAAAAATTTATTCGAGACAATGTGAATTTAAGGCAGGTCGCTTTCCAGTATATCCATAACCTTATTCGATAAGAAAAATATATGATGTCAAGTCCAGGATTGCCTTATGCGTCTCTCGACGTTTTTTTTTGTCTCATCGATCACGACCCAACTAAAGTCATTGCGCGTCTTGTGCATTGCTGCTGGTAAAGAGTAGCAGGGAACTTCAATACTCTTGATGATGCGGTTACGAAGTTATCTTGCAAGATTAAGATAATACGATGAACTTGAACTTTGACATAATTATGGAGAAACGCGTTACTATCGTCGCGCAGAGTTTATTTATTAGTTTTCGTTGATTGAACTCGCGCGGCTGAATAGTTGGTACTTGTTATTCCCGATAAGTTAAGCTTTTGATTTATTCGGCCCGTTTTTTTTCAAAATCGTGAAAAACATATATTCCCTATAGCATATATCATTTGCGCGACATGTTGCATCTATATACGTATATAACGGGTGACTCGGTCGCACTCGCTGGAATTCATTTTTCCGAGACCGCCAGAGGGCGCTAGAAATTAAAAAAAAAAAATTCGGCAGCTCCAATCGGGAATCGAACCCCATACCCTCGGACTGCCACAAACCGTGATGAGGCCTTGTGATAAGAGAGTCGTGACGTTGTGGATATTAACACCGTAGACGATATACTCCAGTTTCCTTATGGCTATTTAAGTTGTGTGGTGTGACTGAAAATTATTTTTTTTTTTTTCATTGGGAGATACAGTCTAGCCATGTTTTTTTTTTTAAGGTTAGAGGTTGGTATCTTGCCATTCAAATTTCTATCGTATTGTCTTCGACGACTAGGACGTAAATTTGGAAATTCACCGGGAACAATTTATTTAACTGTCTTCGGTAACGAGCGGACTGTGTGGAAAGTTCGATCCTTCACGGTAAACTTACAGAGCGACTAGTTGGTAGACGGACGAGGCACGTGAGTTTTGTTGCTTTTTATTTTTCTATACTATTCACGGAAACCGAAATAGCCGTAAATCTAGGCGCATGCCCTCGCCGCGTCGTTTACTGCGTGGAACGTGTACACGAAAATTACATTGGTACCTCCAATATCCATTGTGGAGTGCATGCATTGCATTTGCTTGGTACGTTACGTTATGATCGAACTGATAAACACAGAGGGGAATAAAAAAACTGACGATTCTAAATGCCGAAGGTTTTTGCAATTTGAACGTGCGCAGTCGTTTGTTACTATGAGAAAAAAATAATTGACACAACAAAAAAGTTGATATTCATTGGCTGATTGGAGAAATAATTCATGCTGGATGTAATAATTGGCAAATTACTGAAGGTTATTGTTAACGATAACGCGTCATGTGCTTCTGACAGATGGGTTATATAAAATTCGTAAAAATTGTTTTTAATGCTGCATACCTATATCTGTATATACATATGAACGTTTAGCTTATAGTCTTGCTGGATGGAAATTGTAAGAGCCCGTCATTGTGTATTGTGCTATGACAATTGTAATATATTTTTTAAAAAAATTTCTCTTTGTTACAGGCAACACCCGACAAACGTATCTCGGTCATGTGTTCTGGCCGATAAAGGATTGATAAGGAGGACGAATATTTTTGGAAGTGACAATTAAAGTTGACGACGGGGGGTCGCGAGGAATTCGGAAAAATGACAAACGGCGGAAGTGCGGCGCAGTGCTCGCCGTCCCGTGCGTCTCTGAGTTGTTGCCAGGTCGACAACACCAGTAACGACGACGTGCACGAGGATATGTGCGTGCCCAGGAAGAACAATTACCTCCTGCAGGAGAAGCACTCCTTTCCAAAAAGACCTGAAGTCGATCTGAGCTTTCACCATGTTCGGTATCGCGTTCGCAGATGGAATATTCGTAAACTGGTTCCTGGTAAGTATATGACTATTTACAAAATTGTACGTTCACTTCGTTTAGATACGAGCTTTGCATACAGCGTAGACGCTTTTACTCGGAACAATGGATAATTATTAATATATTACATAAGCTTGGAGTAATTGATTGAAAATTTACGTGAAAATAATACGATAATCGTCTTTAAAGATTAATCGGTTATAGACGTTCGTGTATAGAAGATCGTATAATCGGTTGGTCATTAACGATCATTAAAAGGGATCGGTCGTCGGAGTTAATAATTTACATAATTTTCATGAGCGACAGCTTAATTTCAATATGCGATTCTTGATCATTCGCATCGGCATGGATAATCGTCGGGAACTCAAGAAATTCTGACAGGATAACATTACCGACTGAGTTTCATTACTCGTGACGTACGTTCGTCGCTCGATCCCAAGAAGCAAGCTGGCAATCAGCGATGCAATCGTTAATCAGTGGCGTTGGAAAATTTATTCAATTATACTCCAGCAAAATTTGTTATTCAACTCGTTTCTTCTATTAAACGAATCTTTGGTAGCTCTGTTACACAAAAATATTTATCCTAAATATGTTTACGCGGTCGACGTATGCTTCCTTACGGAATAACATTGTTCCCTAATGTATTGTCTGCGGACTTGGAAATTTGTGTGAAAAGAATACCTGTAATATCTTCCGTATTAGTCACGATGAGCCTTTACGTGACGTTTGGCCTCTTATCGGTAACGTCGAGTAATCTTATATAGCTCTGTAGACGCTGTTGACGTACATACGTACCCTACCCGATTGGCAAGTGCCGCCATTGTGGCCTCGCGCATGCGCATGCGCGCTGCTCGTACAACGGAATAAGAATTACGCTTCGCGCTTACCCTGATACTAGCATTGCAAACGAATGTATCTCGGTGTGTCTGTGACCAATTTTTCATGATTTAATAATGTATCGTTACTCTCGAATTAACATGGCGTGAGTGAGATTAAGTTTGACACCCAAATTCTGTCTTAAGCTCCGCGTCAAATTTCTGCATCTCGCACGCGTCAGGTTAAGAACACCGCTCGATTCTCCAACCCACGGACATGCAGTTTTAGAACTGATTTAGAGAAGATGTGATAGTAAACAAAAATGTAACACTCGTTCCATGTCACACGAGGCTTCTTTGTTGACGAACAACCAAACCATTAATTATGGCTTCCTACGAATATCAATTGTAGAATAATCTGTCTGCTCGCATCAACGCAGTTGGGCGGTCGATTCGATTTTTGCATATTTACGAACAGACCCCTAGCTCCGCCGTCTGGCTAGACGTTAAGGAAACGTACAGAAAAAATACAAGTTAAAAGTATTCACTTTTTTTTTGACTCGTACAAAGCGTCGTCAGTCAAGTACAGGAATAGTGCCGTAAAATTTTCGTTTTCTTTCTTCCTCTGTTATTGACTTAATCAATGTTATTTAGATCAATGTCAAATTACGTAATATCCGTTGATCCAAGCCCACACCGTCCGATAGCACGTAAAATCTAATTCAATGGCCAATGTATATCAAATGTAGTTTCACGTAGTACCGAGTATACGCGTAACTTCGCATGGCGATAAGGTGGCATGACGTAACTCGCATGAGACTTCCAATAATTATTCAGAGCGATTTGGTCGAATCGGACGCACTGACGACGAACGATTCTAAGAGTACGCCTGCATTTACATTTCGCCGTCGCATCCGTTCGGCCATCTTTGTATTATTCATAGAGCGACAGAGGAAACGGTACAACACGAGAATATCGTACCCTCGTGACATTGCGTGAGAAATGTTATTTCCAATGGCCGCTGACATATTTGAATCCCGCGCCAAGCGACGGTGTCCAGGCGTGTCTGAGCCTGTTATTGACGTCTAGCTAAAAATTGTAATCTTATCCAACTCTTGGATCGCTGACTTTTTCACTGTCGAAATATAACTCTGTGGGGTTAACGATCGACTGTTCGTCGTGCTATTGGATAAATTCATTTATTTTCTGCCATATCACTAATGCAATATATCTTCTCTTTGACAATCGACGCATCGTGTCTCAGGATGGCCTTTTACCTCTTGCTTTTGAGTTCATACGCAAATCGCCGCGTACGTTTGTAAAACTGTGTCACGATGCACGTCCGCCGCTTTTCTTTTCGTCTTTTTCCATCACGTACTGCTCTCTCCGGGTTATGGGTCCATCTGAAAAAATTCAAATTCTCTTGCGGCACGTATCGTTGCTCTGGATGTCCGTACGATAACATGGAAATTTAAATGGACGTAAAAGGAAGGATACGAAAGATTATCGCTCGCGTTTGCATTTAATGTGGATACTGCCTTTTATTCCATTGGGTAACGTTGGCTACCTCAAGCAAGACACGTATAGTGTATAGATCAGATTTATTTGTATTACTTAGACGTATTTTTTGTACATGGAACTATCTTAATCATTAATTCTTGAGGACTGTGCTAAAGTCTACGTGGCTCAGTCTTTTTTTTTTTTTTTTTTTTTTTTTTTTTTTTTTTTTTTTTTTGTAACGTTGGCTACCTCAAGCAAGACACGTATAGTGTATAGATCAGATTTATTTGTATTACTTAGACGTATTTTTTGTACATGGAACTATCTTAATCATTAATTCTTGAGGACTGTGCTAAAGTCTACGTGGCTCAGTTTTTTTTTTTTTTTTTTTTTTTTTTTTAATAATTGGTCACATGAAAGTGAGTCAAATGATGAGTAATGGGTGTACAGTCTGCTCGTTGTATACGTGTGTGTATATTCTTTGTCTATAGAAAAAAAAAACAGTGATATATTCGCAACTGGAAAAGCTTCCAGCTTGGTCTGCCTTGTGCGACGGTGGATTCTCGCTGTTCGATTCAGCGACGAGACGGCTTTTACATCATCGATGACGCTGTTGAATTTTTTTTTCGGCTAGCCGATTGCTCTTATCGCGATTAACGCGGAAGCGCAAGTGAAAATAAATGACGCTCGAGAACATTCCACGAGACGGGATGAAAATTTTTCTTAATCGCGATAGCGATAATTCGTCTGGTCATGAAATGTATATATTTTATATGTGCTAAAGTGCGTCCAGAAAGTTCTCAGTGTGCCTAATCATTATTTGATAACCGATAAAAAAAAATTTACAAGGACACCCGATGATGCATCTTCGTCTCGTCATTGATTTTATGCAACTAGGCAGTTTCACGCTAAACATCATTATTTTTAAATATTCAATACGATTGCAGTAATCGAATTGAAGCAGATTGATAATACGTGTTTCGTTTTATTTCTTCTTCTTCTTTCGGTACGAAAAAATACCAATAAGCGAAATTCGCGATTACGTGAAATTTTCGGGCGATACGAATATCTCGCGAATTTCCTACGTTTTACTTCCTTATCAAAGATTTTGCTTTTATCGCCCGATCACTTGTACGCGATAGATTGATTCGGTTTTTTAACTTTTTTTTTTTACAATATTTTTCAAGTCTACACCGACAAGCACGAATTTCATAAACAGTCGTTCGTGTTGTTCGTCTGGTAGTGCTATTTTTAAAATTAATGTAATAAGCCGTGAGATCATCCAAAAATGTTATTTCGCGTTGTCACAAAAAAAAAATAACTAAATAGATAACATTCGAGAGTAGTTTGCATGATTAAAAGACGGAAATAATTTTTTTGAAGTTTTCGTTGACCTACGATACACCTTGTTTCTTAGCAAAGAAATATTTTTCTTATCGCCACTGTCGCAACATGTCACTTGGCCACATTCGTAACGATCCATAAAAATGATACAATCATGACATATACTATATTATATACATATATAAAGTGGTACGAATCGTCTGCAGGATGGCTTACTTTTTTATTTCATACCAAAACCGTATAGCTTTGCACTACGGGCAAACAAGTAACGTATTCTAACGATTCCGATATTCGTGGCGGGAATTTCTACGAGAGCACGTAGACCCTGGAGAAGATTTATAACTGGAAACTAGCGATGCACTTGCTTCCGCGAGCGTTTTCCGTCGGTATCTCAAAAAGCCGTTTAAGATGCACCAGCGGCCTACACTGCTGCCCCCTTGACTTTTCCGTGTTGCGTAACAGCGATGCATGCTGCGATTGCGTAATCGTAAGACGCTACGAGTTCGCGAAAATTCTCAGCGACATTGAACGCGACTATCGGGTCACCAAAGTGCATTTTCATGCGTCAACATTTACGCAGTCCAGAGATACACGATATTCCAGATGGTTATTGTGACTACAGAATTATTATTGACCTTAAGGATAAATATCCAAAGAACGAAATACACTGTGCAGACTATAAACTATGCTCCCTTTCATCTTGAAATTTCGCAAGGGTAGAAAGCCTGCAAGTTTACCTATTCGCCTATCCACGTGCCCGGCGAATGACGCGGGCAATATTTGCTACGAACGCTAACCTGTAATTTGTCGTATGCGTCTGTTGTGTAGAAACCAGCGAGATTCTGCACGGCGTGAGCGGGGAATTCAGGGCTGGAGAGTTGGCAGCCATCATGGGACCTTCCGGTGCTGGAAAATCGACGCTGCTCAACGTTCTTGCTGGTTACACGTAAGTTTTTCTTACTCTTAGATGCAAGTTTTTTTTTTCTTCTTTCATTGACAACTAGCAAGAGACTTACAGGCACGTTGAGAAATTTATAAACCTTTCGTTATTACGCGAGACTCTCGTGCACTCGTGTAAAATTTCTTTTATGCAAGCAATTTTGTGAACTCGAGAAAAAGCGGATCGGGCCAAGGATATCTTAAATTTATATACAATCTTTATACTCATCTCGTATTACTGCGCGACCCGATTTCACGACGTGCGCAAGATCAATGAAATCTTTTTTTTTTTTTTCGACTGCCTGATAAATCTTAAATTTACAAGCGTCAATGGACCTTCGGTGTCAAATGAAGTTTCGTTATTACGGTATTACCTTTTTTTTTTTCTTGTATCATTTGGAATACTTATAAAGTTGCGTTTTTATTTATTATTCGTAAATTAGTCAACACTGGGTTATTCTCGGTGGTACGAGTTCGGAATGAAAAGCATACATGACTTATCGAATAGCCATAACGATTTGTCACGGGGATTATGCGAAAATGTCTTCTTTTTTTTTTCCTTCGAGCAAACACTGGAAAACCCGAATGATCAACTGTTATGAATGTATTAACTCGGCGATCCGAATCGCATGTAAGAAAAAAGTATTCATTATCATGACAATGGCTGAATGCACTGGCCAGTCACGACAGTAATCACTCTGTGGTTACGATCCAGTTGAAAGTGTTTATTAGACGCAACAGAAAGAACACGTAATCCTGATAATTCCTTCCTTTCCTTATGGCTGACTCCTCCAATGAGGAGATGTGCCAGTAATCCTGATAATTAAACGCACTAAGGACGGAAATCCCACAGACTATAACGAAACGACGAGCAGCGACTCGACGTAACGACGGGGCACCGCCTGGTGGCAAATTTCGTAACTAGAGTGATCGTCACACATAATATAAAATTCAAAACGTGTAACTTCATTTCGATGTTATTTCTTGAATAGTAATCTTAAAAATGTCCATGTCCCGAGAAAGTAATGTCTTATCATTACATGCACAGATACCAGGTATCATTTAAAAACGTCCTTGACTGACTCCGATAAAAAAAATACAGTCTTACTTGTCTGTAACTAAGCAATAAATTGTCCTGGAAACCGAAGAATAATGCCAACCATTGTCATGGAGAAGATTGATAGTGATTAACCGTGACAGACGCCACGTGATCTCCAACGTATTAAAAGTCAAATCAATCTTGTTGTCAATCGCAGAAATTACAGCGTGCAGAACGTAATCGTTGGTCACTGCATGAAATAGTCATTAGCCGTCCAGGATTAGTACTTAAAAAAAATTCTTTTAGCATAAATTTTTTTTTTAATCATTGTCAAGATTAATGAGAAACTAATTGTGACTTTTTTTTTGTTTATTAGCGTTCAAGGTGTTACTGGAGAAATCATGGTGAATGGCAAGACTCGTGTACCGCATAGCGAAAGATGGAGGCGAACTTCGTGCTACATTCAACAAGATTCGTGTTTGAGAGCTCGACTAACTGTAGGGGAAGCCATGAGTATCGCTGCGCATCTTAAACTAGGCTATACCATTAGCTCGGCATTCAAACACACTCAGGTTTGACATTTTTAAATATAAATGATTATGCAACGTGGATTCAGGGTCTTTGATCTCCCATGGCTGAATCAATCTTAAAAATATCAATGCTCAATGGATCCGAGCAACAGTTATATCCTTGGGTTGCATTCGGAGTTGTCAGTATATCTTTATGTAACCATTGAAAGCCGTCGGAATGCAAAATGGCACGACAGGATTTTAGACGGCCAACAGAATATCATTATTAGTCAATCATCGTACAGCATGGACCATATACTACCTAGTCGTGTTTTCATACTGAGAAGTTAAAACTGAATCCACCAATTGCATTGTTCAGCCTTTCTAAATATTATTTATGATTGGGTTAGCTGTGTATGAGACTTTCACTATGAAAGTATAGTCGGCTGTATATGAAATAATTTATTATTTGTTGTCTCCTGTTATTTTCTTATCTGTTATTGCAATTATCGGCTGATACCTTATTGCGTGCAGGGAGAATTTAAAAAAAGTTATTTAGCATTACTATATGCACTCGGTGCACTGGCCCTTATCACGTCGTTCGATAAGCCAACCTTCGCCTAAAAAGATATGATTATAGTTCATAAGCACAGTCGTGTGCCGGTCGTCCTTGATCGAGTTTGCTTAACTTGTACTCACCGTTACCGTTTACCTGCAGGTTCTGGACCTCCTGGAGATGCTTGGATTAAGTCACTGCTACGACACATTGTGCGGTCAGCTATCCGGTGGGCAGAAGAAAAGGCTCGACGTGGCTCTTGAGTTACTGAGCAATCCTTCGGTATTGTTCCTCGATGAGCCAACCACTGGTAATATATAAGAATATGAAAAAAGTGCATTTTTTGTTTGTTTGGTAATGAGACAATATTTTCTAAAAGATTTAATATGCGTGTTACAGGTCTCGATTCGGCCTCGTGCAGTCAGTGTATTCTTTTACTTCAACGATTGGCCAAAGTTGAAAGACGTACTGTAGTGTGCACGATACATCAACCCAGTGCATTGCTGTTTGAGATGTTCGATTCTCTTTATGCAGTTGCCTCTGGTCACTGTATATATAGAGGTCCTGTACAGAACCTTCTGCCACATTTAGCATCTGTAGGAGTACGATGCCCACCTTATCACAATCCTGCTGATTTTCGTGAGTTTATGCAATTTTGTTTTTAATCATTTAGTTATAGATTTTCCTTTTCTTTTTTCCAGCACTGATTTCTTCATGCAGCGAAACGTCTCTTAGTCATTTTGCCGGGGTAGAGTTCGTTAACATTGTTATGGATAAATATACCATCATTTTTATCTGGTTACGGGACTAAGTTCTTAAAGGCTTCTCTGCCTTGGACATGCTCTAGTTATTTACAGTGTCAACTGCCAAGAGACTTGTCAGATTAATACGTTTCACTCAGTAAAGAAACTTACTTTCTTTTCCTGTGTTTTAGTGAAATTCGATTCCTTTTCTATTTCTTGCAGAGCTCGCAGTTTGTTAAATGTACAATAGTCGTGACCGCGTGCGTTAATAACTATTCTAAACTGCTGATAATCAGCATATTAATATGATCATTAATGATGCAATGACTCCTTTCGAATCCGCATTAGTTACTGTAGGTTTAAATTAAAAGTTCAATGATATACGACACTTGCCCTTGAGAGTAATGTAGCGTGCAAGCAGGTATTATTGCTGATAATGTTATTTTCATTTTCCTAAGAATGATTTGATAATATATACTTTGGTTGTAATTTGTCGATAGACATATCGATGACATTAAGTGATATCAAATGGCAGTAATTAATTTAAATGGTGAAATCCTTATTGACAGTACGTAATTTAAATTTTGTACTAAACGAACAGTTATTTGCGTGCTCACTACTTTCATACGATCAATACGATACAATAATGATAAGGAAATGATTATTGTCCCTTACAATTACATATTGCCGTCGAGCATAGGAATTATATATATATATACTTGAAACTTCATAATATATAATGTCTCCTTGTGCATCATCTACAACTAAAATGTTTCATTTGCAGTACTGGAAGTAGCAATCGGTGAATATGAAGTATCAGTGGACAAACTAGCAACTGCTGCTGAAAAAATGTGGGAAGATCAAAAAACTATCATGCCCGCTCCAAAGTCTCAGCTTCAATGTGAGTATAGAATCTATAAGAAATCTGCGTATAAAATTAGGTAACCATCATAGAATCATCATTCGATATTCACGTGTTCTTATTTATCATTGATCAGTAATACTTTGATGACTCATTCAACTGCTATATCGATAACTTACCGACGGTTTTCAGCCAATACCAAGGAACCTCCACCACCAGCAGGCTTCGTTGCACAGTGTTATCTTCTGTACAAGAGACAACTTATGTGCCTGAAGAGAGATTACACACTCTTGGTGGTTCGACTGATGTGTCACTTGATGATCGGCGTGATTTTCGGCTACTTGTACATGGGAAGTGGTTATAGAGCCAACGGTGTTCTAGCCAATTATGCATACTTGTACGGATCTCTATTACTGATTGTCTATACCGGAAAGATGGCTGTGACTCTTGCCTGTAAGTATATTCACGGAATTGATTTAACAGGTTTCCTTCTTACCGACGAAGTAAGCGGCAATAGACTCGATTTCGCTATATCGTTTTCTTCATCTGTCCTACAGTTCCAATAGAAATGCAGATGTTAACGCGGGAACATTTCAATCGGTGGTATCGCCTAGCACCGTATTATATCAGTATGCTGCTCATCGAAATTCCATTCCAAGCAGCGTGCGCTGCTACTTACCTTGCTGTCAGTTATTGGCTAACTGGACAGCCTATAGAAACTCACCGTTTCATCTCTTTCATGGTTGTTAGTATAGCTGCCAGTTTGACCGCACAGGCATGGGGATTCTTCATCGGTGCGACGACTCCTGTCAAGGTAAAGAAAAAATAATCTTAATTAATTTCACAAATAATCTTAACACATTAGCGGTATCGGAGAAGCATAAACGATGCTTATTTAATGTATAATATTTCTTTACAGATTGCAGTATTCGCCGGTCCTATAATAGCTGTACTGTTCTCCGTGTTTGGCTTTTGCATTCGTTACATGGATACGCCAGCCGGGTTCCGTTGGATATTCCATATATCGTACTTTAGGGCTGGCTTCCATAGCCTGCTGTATACGATGTATGGATTTGATAGGAAGGATCTGAAGTGCGACGATTTTTATTGTCATTACAAGAAGCCCACGAAATTTCTTACGGAAATGGAAATCAGTGATACTAACGTTGTCAACAACCTGGTGCTCATAGTTGGTATCGGTGTTCTTATGCATTTACTTACGGCAAGTGCACTCTGGTGTAAACTAAATAGAAGATAGACCGCAAGAAGCTTGTTGACTTAACAAAAAAAAAATAATAATTCTAATAACAATAAGGATGTGATGACGAAATTTTTGTATATTACTTGTATATTAAATCTATGGATGGATGAGTGTATGCGGATTCAAAAGATTCGGATAAAAATCTGAATTTCAAGGATCATCGCGTGAGTGTAAATGTGAAACACATAGCAGCCAATGCTGCGATATTTTTAATATTATTTCACAAGTGGTCACCCATCTTTGTGACGTATTGTTACACAAGCCACATAGAAGGACAGCTATAGATGGGCGTTATTACCGTTATTATTACATGCCTTAATTATTGCTGGCTGTTGTTCATTTCATAGTTAGCGTCTCGCAGAATTTTAAGTAGTACGTTATTAGTTTCACATTGTGGAACGATTTATGATTATTTTTTAATTTATGTATTTGAAGCATCTCATGGTAATGATCAATTCAATTCTATAATTGATCTATCTGCAGATCATTATGTTAAAGCCTGAGAGTAATATGTCAAGCCCCGTGTCCACTGTCAAACGCTCAATCAGAATTTTAACTTCGGAATAATCAAATTTTTGTTATGATTGCTATTCAATAACCGCATAATATTTAATTGTCATAGTAATACAATGTTCCAGAATTTTGACAATGGTCATGGGGATGGATTCTGCAAGAACAGTCATTACCGTCATCGTAATCTATGTGAATGCTTTAAAAAAAAAAGCATCACTACATACATACTCTATTCTGGTATCGTTTATGATGCTTGCCCTAGAATTTTCCGAATTCTCAGCCATGTGAATTCGTCTGGTAATATTTGCTTCCATCTTGATGCTTAACGTGCTTACGTGAATTTTGTCACTTGACACAGGGTGCACTCGCGATATTAATGACAGTCGTAGCTTAAAAGAGATATTTGTATTTTTGTATTACGATTCGCAATCTGTGTACAAAGTTATTATGCAGATGTATGCATCGTTATTACGTTCAAAATTTGTTGCGCATCTTTTTTGAAATACTCTAATTATGTAATGTGAAAACGATGCGATCGTCTATTGCATGATCTTGGAACTGTACGAGCAAGTGCCTTATGATTTATAAATTTGCAGGTAGTTTAGATATGTGAAAGTCTGTTTTATTATGTCTCGATTGTAAAATTTTTGTGTTCTACGATGAATGCAGCCAGATAACTGGGTAGTTTTGTGTTTGAAACTCAATGCAAAAGTATAACCATGTTAATGACGATTTCTTTTTATAATTATTTATTATTTATTTTATTTGTCTCACTAGTTTCCTGTTATAAGCATACGTTGCATTAATTGACAACTATAATTGTTTGAAAACTTCTCATTGGTTCAATCTTCTCTTTAAGGGGTACAATGTCTGTATCTTTATTGTAATAATTACCACCAACACGTATCTTCTCTACCGGCATAAGGCGTGACGAAGACTAATCTAAGTAATTTGAAAAATGTGAAAATTGAAGTTAAAAAATGAAATATCGATGCGACGTTATACAATAGGAAACTTCTCTATGAAATGCAATAAGTATAGGTATGACAGTTTGTAGTAAAGCGTAATTTAACATTTAATTATTACTTCATTTACGGATATTTAAATGGTGGATCCGCGTCCCGTAAACGTATTAATTAAAATGCCAAATAGCACTGTAAAATATGTATATCGCGCATAAAAACATGCATGTTTACTCCCACAAAACTGGAGCTAGTCAGATGACTTACATTCCTATTATCTCGGTGCGGGGATAAGAAAGATTTCTTTGTGTCACAAAGAACAAAGTAGCTCATGTATTTTACACATCTAAAATATATCTAAGAAAAATATAAGATTTTCTACGATCCTTAATTTTATCCATTTTTTTTTTAATCTTCCACTACAAACAGCAAACTGTTGGTCTGAGAATATAAAAATACATGGAAGAGATGTTTGAAAAGAGGGACAGCTTCCCCGTATATTTTGTGCCTTAAACGACCCGTATAGTATTTCAATCCCCTTTACAACTTCTTTGTTGGTTCCAGCATATTTCCCGTGCCCACTAGCCGTCGGACACAAAGTCCCATAAGGCCGTGGCCATCTTCACTAATACACACGTACCTCCTCGATGCGATACATCGTTCCAAAGTTCTTCTGGATGACGTGCGGTGCAGGTATTAACAATCCTCTTATACGACCGATGATAACGCTCTTGTATATGTATTAACGCTAAAGGAAGTAAAGCTTAAACAGTGTTATCAAAGTAAATGAAAAACTTATTTATCGCCACGTAAGTTTTTCAGTGACATCTACCAACAAAGTTTTGAATTGCTTGTTTCTCAGTTATTCGTGTACTCACGCGGGAAAGAAATGTCAAAGTACCTAACCTGAAAGTATTGTTACTAGGAGAATTCAATTTTCTTATCTGTGCCTCGAGTTGGTTTTATCTAGATTTTTGAATTGTATATGCATCTTTTGTACTTGAACTCTTTAATACTACTGCACTGTACTTGTATGACAAATCCATAACACGCTGCTTATCGAACATTTGTTTCAGACCACAAGCAAATCTATGCACAAAGAGAATGATTTCATTGGCAACAGTACGTATCCTTATCATTTTGAGACTAGTGACGTCTCAATGGACATACAATACTGCGCGACTGTCGAACCGATAATTTTATATCCCTGTAAAAGGTTTATCAGTGAAAATTAAAAATTAACAAGTGGAATTCATCAATCAGTAAACTCATATATATACATTTTTCAATTAACAAAGCATACACAGTGCTGTTCAAAAGTATTGCACTGTCCCAATACTTTTTATCGATACTTTACATTTATTTCAGATACTTCAGTGCAGTATCTTTTGTTTTCTTGAGGATTTCGCATCGTGACATCGTCGTATGATCAAACGTCAACAGGATCAATGGAAGTAACAGCTCGAAACGTTTTAAATTCTATTCACGCGCTTTTCAGAATTATTATAGCCATTGTGTTAGCGTCGCGTGTCCTAGTAGTTCCTTTCAATGACACGGTGCAATGGTACGACCATGATGATCAGCCATATGTCACATACCAAAGCACTATAAGCAATCTGCTCTCTGTACATTGTCATATATGACACTAACACTGTTTATGGTTTACTATCATTATGCAAATGGAAATATCTGTTATCAATATATTTTCACGTTTTATATATATCAATTGAAAAATTATTATTATTACAGTAATTTCACAGCAGTAGATAATGATTTTACAGAAATCCTACTCGGATCACGAATAACTTACGTTTTACGTAATACGAGAATAAACTGTCAATCAGAAAAGTAACAAAAAATGACTTATCTTTTATACAGCACTTTTGCATGTAAAAATAATTTTATTCATAACTATATTGCTCAGCTCTGTAACGTCAGAATTGATTTGACACTGATGGAGTATATACTGTATTTGACATTAAAGATACCACATTTTTTAAATGAAGATCGTTTAAATGTTTTTTTTTTCAACTTTTTACAATTATATTTGAACAATATGGAGTATGAAAATTATAAAATTTATTTGTTTCTGATCTTCGGCTTGGTTCAATGATGATATGTAGCTAATAATTTGTATAATACCGTTCATTTGCCCAAGGAATAAAACTACTATATATAGGAAACAGTATACTATATGTATCTTCTTAACTGCGACTGTACCGTAACCGGTATCTTACGATTTTGGAACCTATTCGGCTACTGCAGAGCTCTACCTAATCGCCGCCCACCTTCTTCCCATCCATCATAAGCTTGAGGAGGCTTAGAAAGTCAGCTGTGGAGAGGAGCAGTGTTGATACTGAGAAAAGTGGCCCTGACGCCAGTAAAAATATACAAATATACAAATTTGATACAAATGCGATACAAAATTTCATAAACGATGTGCTTTTGTGATAAAAAGAATTTCATAGAATAAAACAAACGAAGTAAAGTATACAAGGAGCACTTCGGAGTTTCAAGAAGACATAGCAAAGTTATTTACAGTGCCTATAGATAGCCGTCAGTATGGCAGCGCCCTCGATCGTGAGCGGATGTGTTATTCGTTCTCGGGTACGGTGCTGCTTACTTACGAGGTTATAAGCCAATCTCTGGTCCATTTATTAAATCGTACGTGCTCGTGAATCGTAAATACAGATCATTTATACGTATATATTTATATACAAATACCATATAAGAAAGCAGGATCGTTAACAATCTTAAAAGCAAAGTTAAGGTTCGCGCGTTGACATACGACCTGCAGTAATACCTATATCGTTGTGGCCTTCTGTGTTAGAATACGAGAGTAGAAAAGAAGGATCGCATAAGAACGTCCAGTAAAGTGATACAATATATACGTATTATATACTCGTAAACAGGAATTATTTGCCTTGGGAAATTATCCTTATGCGAGAGGGAGGAGAGAGTCGTGAAGTTCGTTCGTTCGATCGCATAAAATCGTCATGACAGAAAAGTTATCCTTGAGTTTACCAGATCCGCCGGGATTTCGTAAATCAGTCTTAACACCGAATATAAGTGGAAAGAGCAACAAGTACTTTATCAGTGCACCGACATCACGACATGTCTACAAATCTGTCAATCTTGTCTTTAATAGTATTTCCTACAACGTGCGGACTGGACTCTTCAGACAAGGTAAATTTAAACTTATATTCTTCCAATCGAAGTGACATCCATTGTAATTATAGGAATAAACATTTTATTAAGTGTGTATATGAAACGAGCAAGCTCGATGCTGTGTCGACACTATTTTGTTTTAATAACTTAGGCTCGCATGAGAAACAAAGTCTAGCGCAAGAAAGAGAACGAAAGCAGATAAGTACTTAATCCTTAGTAACGTGAAAGCGTCACTCTCGATGCGTACGCAGACTGTCTTCTCTTTGTGTTGGATACAGACAGATACGGAGAAGACACACGTGGCATCCAGACGTAATAATGAATACAAGTGGTCTTGTCTTATTCTGACAACAGCCATAAACCCTACGAGACATTGACCGATCCGATAAAACTAGGCAATTGAGATCTGCCAGTGACTTTAGATACGTATGATTTTTCGTGATATAATTATCTCTGTAATTTGGTAACTCTATATTCTAATCAAATACACGTATACGACTATCTGTAACGCGAGGACTTATTTTTTTTCAATTATTTTATGTAACCAAGCGATAGACGAATAAAATTTTATACTGACATCTCGTGGCGAATCTTCGAAACTATGGGCCCAACGTGACAAGTCAAATTAGTCGAATTCAAATTCGTAGGAATGTCTCATCATTTAGAATTTTAGATGTCAATATCAAATAGTCGAGTGAGCCGTACAGCTGCGCTAACTTTTTCTATGCTCGTGGTACGAAGATTTTGATAAGAGTCCGACGCTCTCTGATAATAGGAATACGGCTGTAGCTGCTTTGTCGTTTTATATGATAAGAGTAAAAATTTTTCGTGTATACATAATACGTTGATCGATGTGATCCTCGTTAAAATTTGGGGTCTAATTTAAATTTAACGGTCAGTCTTAACAAAGCGACATCCAAGACTTCTTATTTATCTACCCATATAGTTAAATATGTATCCAGACAAATAAGGCCGCCGAAGGAAAGTATTACGGAAGTCAGTTCTAGCGCATTGTTTCTGCTAAGCCACGGAAAAATACCGCAGATCTTTGACTTGATACTACAGCCAGTAAATATTTCTTGTTCAACGCGTTCAGTGCAACGCGAATTATGCTTTCTATGACAGTCTAGCGCCGAAGTGAATTTTTTGTTATACGAAACAACGTAGCATTAGTCCCAATAACCTCTCACGACATTGACCGTATTAAAGTTTCACAGCGGCGCCTACGAACTTCTACAGAATTTACATTTACTCACGTGCAGCTTTACACGCGTATCCATTAATATATCTGTGAGTATGGTAGACACGCGTAGAAAAAAAAACAAACACTCCTACGATGATAGGTACAATTGCAGCGTTGCGTGTAAAGTGACGGAATCCGGTGGTATCGTGCGAGGGAATGTTGCGCCTAGCGAGAATAAAATATAAATGACCTGCGTAAAGGAATGATTTGAAACCGGTTTCATATATAACGAGCTCATTCTAATAGGAAAGAAAACTTGCTTCGACGTAGTCCTTAGTGTTACCGTACCTTGCAGCCACTGTGAGAGGCTGCTTGGTATTAAAATAATATAAAAATTATTTGGGGATCCCCACCGTACAGTAAGTATACGATAATACAGCCGTTGTACTTCCATGTAAAATCACTGACGTTATCAGTAGCGTCATTTTGTCCATATTGAGTTTACACTTGTCTACCTTGCATTATGAAAAATTTATATGTATTCTGGGATCTTGACGTGTTTGATTTTCATTGTTTACCTTATTAAACTGTCATTGCCTCGCGCGCGTAATCGAATGCAGATTGTCGATAGGAATTTTGTCTTTCGGATAACGCCTTGTTTACGCGTTTACACAGAGATCGATATTTTACTATCTTCGTGGCAAAGTTCGTGTCTATTATTTTCCTTGGACTCGAGGGGGAAAAACGTTTTAGAACTGAGACGTGGATATCATACGGTATGTCAGCTGGTATACGTTGTGTGTGTCAGGATGACTAACTTAAGAAAAATTGTGAATCCTGCCCTTCCAGATGTGACTAATTTAATTCTTATGAGGTTCTTCGAACCTTCCCTGAAACTGGTTTTATGTTCGAGTTAGTACATGATTTGACTAACTTCATACCGTACTTTTTTTTAACGTGATTAGCGAACTACTCGTATGTCAGCTGATTGACGTAGCTAATTGCTAATTATATTTAATATGGGGAAATATTGTTTGCAGATTATTGACGTTGATTTATCAGACACATTTTGTAACTTGCACCGATTCGCTCCACTTTTCGCAATCGTGTTTTACAGAGCGTTCACATTATACTGATATATAAATTAGAAGTCTGTCACACTGTGCCGATAAATCGATCTCGCTATTGAACATGGCGCGCGTAGAAAATGAAAGCATTTCCATGCCAGTCGCATTATTTTCATTCTCCGCGTTGGTAAGAGTTTATTTCAATTTTTTATTAATTAGTCGATTGTTTTCAGCTAGATTAATAATTTATGTCCAATTTCCTCGTAAACATTGAAGGAATAGAGTACAGTCGCATATTAGAAGAAATAATATTTGTATTACCCAGTCTGCCACATGGCTCTCGTGTATATATATATATATATATTCTACGAGTAGATGTAATTTCTAAAAGAAGAAAAAATAATATTTGTTGCACGATACATAACCTCAAAAATTGGTTCTGCTTCTCAACTGAATGGACTGATTAAGGTATTCTGGCAACGCTGTACATACAACTAGCAGCTGCGTTGTTATCGTGATCGGCGACTTGGTTTTTGTGGGAAAATTGAAAAATTGGAAATTTATATAAAAATTCCAAATTCAATATATTTTATGTATCACGGAGTTTGATAAAAAATTCACGGCAGTACAGCTTTGTGTGCTCGCGAATATTAAGGACCCCGCTAAGGGACCCACTAAAAATCCACCTTCGAGCTCGAAATACCTTAATTCAATTTTCGATTGAATATTCATTGAACCTCTGTAATTTAATATGAAACATTATTGGTTCTGTCCAAAACCGCTATCAATTTTTGTTTCTGAAAAGTCTCATGTCTCGTATTGTACATTTGTAGTTGGTGAATTTATACAAATTACTTATCAACCAATGATCCCTTTTATGGAAGTAACTGTAGTCACGTCTCATTGTCGCCGATTTCACATTTTTCTATAACACGCATCCGTACAAGACTCTACGACGAAGGTACGCAGAGTGTACTGCAACAGCCGAATTATTACTACAATTGTATCTATGAAATTTTCTTTACGAGTTTCTCATTGCCCCTCACTTCAGTTTGCCCCCCAGAGATTGACACATGTGCTTTTTTGTTCACTCGGTATGTATTCAAGATACGAGACGCACTGATGGAAGTGGTAACATATGGCAGTAGATAAAAAGTCTATTCGTGTAACAAAGAATGACTTATGGTTCACGATATCCGGCATAAATTTTATTAGCAGATATTCAAAACGAAAGTGTAAACCTATAAGAAATTCTCAATTGGTTAATTTAACACGTGGATAATATCGCCACTGTCAACGTTGAATTAATTTTTGCCGCGACAACCATAAATCGTTTCATAAAAATTAAATGGCTATGTACCTTCGGATTTTTAGCTGCACCTTTGTCTTTCGATGATATACAAATTGCGAAATTACGTTATCTGCGCCATGGTAGAGATTATTATTCCTGGAAAGATATCTTGTTGGTCCGTGCTTAGTTTACATGGTATTCAGTCAGAAATATGTGGGTTTCTAGTGAGAGAGAACGTCAAAGCAAGGATCTAAAAATAATTTCGTGAATGGTTGATAGAGAATTGAAAAAAAAAATTTTTTCAATGAAATATCACGAGTCTAATAATTTTTCACTCAGTGTACAGTCCAATTTTCGTGTACACTGTAAACCTCGCGGAGGAGAGTAGAATTGATTTTTATAATAGTATATAGACATATGATACTAGATTTGCCTAAATAAAGAGCCAAGTTGACGGTAGTCACGTTATCTGTCACTTTGGGCTTTCATGGGTGTCTACGATTATTATCATAATCGATAGATAGAACGTATCTAGCCTCATTGCGAAATTGGCTGCCGCGGTAACCTATGAGATCGGTACAGATTGTTCGAAGCGCGAAGAAAAAAACACTTATAGGCAAATAATAAATATCCCAATTAAGATGATAGTTGCGATGTTGCTTTATCCACGCGCGAATCCCGTTTCAATATTGTTTATACAACTTTGTCAAAGCAAATGGATACACGACTCCCTGTTCTCTTTGTATTTTTTATTATTTTTTTTTCTCAATAAATTACCAGCAGTAACATTTCTCCATCTTTTTTTTCCTACATCTTTCTTTTCCAACCATAAAATAATGCCCTCGTCTTCGATCGTGAGACTGACTGGCGTATTTCCTTAGTCAACCATTTTCTTTTTTTTATCATACCAGGAAAACGAAAATTACTGCACAACATATCCGGAGATTTCAGAGCCAGCGAACTGACCGCCATTATGGGACTCTCCGGGGCTGGCAAATCTACTTTAATGGACATCCTGGCTGGTTTCACGTGAGTATTTTAGTTTATTTTCATCAGGTCTCATCAAAACATTTGACTTGTCCAATAAGAGCGCCAGTTAACGCGAGTATCATTTAATTAAATAATAAAGTGCTACTAGTATATCCGAACTATGCGTATCTGGCTACACGTACAATATCTATAACACGTACCTAGTACTGTTATTCGCAGCGTAAGTGAATATAGACGAATAAAAAGAAAATAAAGTATAATTTCGCTGTCCGTCGGATCGTCGAAATAAGCTGTAACAGGGTGACGCTCAACCGTTCGCGCTGAGTGCGCCTGCACCGAGCAGCAACACGAAGGGCCGTTGTGGTGCCGTTGCACTCAGAGTCAGTTCTGGTACAACAGCACCGAGCAGAGGCTTTCAAGGTCCGTACTGCTACAGGATAAGTGCATACCACCTCCGTCGCGCAACACCTTGCATTTGAGTACAGCTGCACCAATGGGGATACCAATGTAGCAGCACTCGCGAAAGTAAACTCAACAAAAAGAACTTTACGTCTTGCACGCCCGAGGTACAATGCATACAGGACTCGGCCATAAGAGACAAGATTAATTTTCCTTCTATTAAATTCGATACTGCTCATCTAATCGATGATTTTGACCTTAGGCCCGGTTGAACGTACAGCGTTATCAGTCGCGATAATATAATACAAATATTCGATGCAGAGCCGATCGTCATAGCGTATCGTTGAAAATGGAAAAAGTGAATATGATAAAGTCTGCTGCAAGGACGTAAATGCCAATCGAAATCTGTTTTTTCCGTGTCTTTAACCCGGGAGTGAGTGCCGGCTGTCCCAGGTCAATGCTTTTTAAATGGAGAACGAAATCGCGCGACCATGCCTGTGTTAATTTTTTGACTTCCAGGATAGACATCAATTAATTACCACGACTCCGTAACCGCTTGTCCGTTACAACTTTTTTATATTTTTTTTTTGTCCTTTTTACTCTCTCTGTCTCACTCGTCCGTTTTCCATTGACTTACAGCCGTTTTCTTCGAGACGCGCTTCGCTGCATAAACTCGGCTTAACTGTGCTGTCAGCCAATCGGTATTGTATTTTTAAGCAAACGGAGTTTATGCATTGAATCGCGTTGATGAAAACGAGTCTTGTTTACTGGGACTTAAATGGACTTTTCGTACGAGACTTTCTGCACTGGAATAACATTCTAATTATATGACGCAAAACCGAAACTCATACTGATTACAGTAATAATCTTAGTCATCGCTTGAACGTGTATACTGATTAGAATATTTTTTTTTCACGATCATACAAAGTTGCAATATTCATATCAGCCGTGATTATTACAGACAATAATGGTCCTTTTGACGACTGCCGTGATAAGGCGATCGGTCCGATAACGATTCACGGTGTTCGATGCAATAATGACGAAATATATTCTTCAGTTGATTTCAGGCAAAGACGCACAATGACTTTCGCGCGCGCTCGTTATCCTCCTAGAACTCGCATTCATATTCCGCACGAGCAATGACCGTGCCTCACGCTACTTTTGCCTGGTTATCTTATCGACGAGGCTTCTAATTTAATATAACTACGATACGCGTTATGGCGTTTTGTGGCGCGTGTGCTTGGCATGTATTAAGGAAAAATATTTTTCTTTACCCCGGAGATTTTGAAAATTTAATAAGGGATACGAATTATTTTTCGCGATATCTTTGTAATTACTGCGTCCGCAGACCATCGATGGATATTACCGTTGAACGGTATAAAAATCGACAGTGCGGCTATAAATGGTAACGTTGAATTTGTAGGAATCATTGTGCACTTTCGCAATCAGACTCAATTACTCTTTGTCAATTATCTTTTAATCGTTCTTAGAATGCTCCGCTGTAGAATTGTCTGAGAGCAAAGGAAAGTAAGAGCCTTGCACGACGCGTTATAGTATAAAAAAATATGTCATCCGTGCATTGTCATTACGACTACTTTTTGTAGTTTTATTTTTTTTTAATTGAAAATTATTTTTTTTTTCACCTTAGGATTTCCTCGGTCGCGGGAAACGTCCTGGTGAACAGCAAGGAACGAGATCTCCCGACGTTCAGAAGGTCATCCGCCTACATTATGCAGGACAGTAAACTGCAATCTCTTCTTACGGTTCAAGAGACGATGCAGGTTGCAGCTGATTTGAAATTGAACCTGTTGCCCCGTGAAAAACTGGAAAAGGTAAGCTTTGTTGTTGTCGAAGGTAGTCGAACGGTGATATGTTCTTTTTTTTTTCTTCTAAATGTCAATGACACCAATTTTTATTGTTGCAGATCGACGAAATTCTCGTAGCGTTAGATCTTGAGGTTTGCCGTGATATTCGCACGAGCGCTCTGAGCGGGGGTCAGAAGAAAAGATTAGCCATTGCTCTGGAACTCGTGAACAATCCACCGGTGATGTTCTTCGACGAGCCAACAAGGTGTGTGAAGGAGGAAGGCTATGTTGTAAAATTATTTTAATCGGTTCAAATTAAATTTTTGTTCCATTCAGTGTCATAATATTGTTACCAAACAAAATTTACAGTGGACTCGATAGCGTATCTGCGAAACAGTGTCTGGGTCTTCTGAAAGCCCTAGCACGAGAAGGTCGTACTGTCATCTGCACTATTCATCAACCTAGCGGAACGTTATTCGACATGATCGATCATCTTTATGTGATTGCTGGTGGGAATTGCGTATACACAGGTGGCACGAGTAACCTGGTGCCATACTTAGCTAGCCTTGGTCTTCAATGCCCGTTATACCACAGTCCTGCGGACTTCCGTAAGTCTACCAGAAATGCCTTGGATGTTCAACCAATGGTGGTTCAGTTACCTTGGAATGCGTCACCATTGCCATAGATAATTTAAAAAAGGTTGTTGTACAAAGAAGCCTTGTCTTCATTGTTTTATCTTAGTATTGGAGATATGCCATGGCGATCATGGAAATCATTTGTCCACGCTCATAGCGTCTATTCAAAATGGCAAGAGCAACGAGTGGCGCGTGTCAGCTGTTGGTCGAGTTACCAAGATGGAGGAAATAATAGCAGCTGATCTAACTAATCCGGCTAAGGCATCTAAACGTCCATTGAGTCATGGGGAACCACCAGGATTGGAGAAGGAAGGATTTAATTCTAGAGACTATGTCACGGGTTTTTGGAAGCAATTGTTTGTTTTATTGAAGAGCAATGCCATCAAACTGTCCAGAGATAAGGTATGTCAGGACCATTTGTTTCATGTAGCAGATAATTCCTTTTTATTCCTATTCGAACTGGTCATATATATTTTCATATTTCAAATTAGGTACTCATGGTTATGAGGCTCCTTACGCACATTGTCATCGCTTTTGTCGTTGGAATTCTCTACTTTCAAATTGGTCAGGACGCCGCTTACGTCTTTGACAACTTCAATCTATTGTACTTTAGCGTCATGTTCCTCATGTTCAGCGCTTTTAACGCCACTATTATTACTTGTGAGTGAATCACTTTTTTCTTTTTTCATTCTAATTAATTTTTCAATCTTATACAGCCTTTTCTTTTATTTCAGATCCTACCGAGTTACCAATTGTCACTCGCGAGCATTTCAATCGTTGGTACAAGCTTCGATCATTCTATTTGGCTAATAAATTAGCCGACTTGCCAGTGCAGATTGCTGCGGTTTCTACATTTGTACTGATAGTTTATCACATGACTGGACAACTTCCGGAAGGAAGGAGACTCTGTCTGTATATGTTTGTGTGTATTGTGGTTAGCTTAGTCGCTCAAACAATCGGCCTTATTCTAGGAACTGCCATGAGCCTACAAGTAATTTAATACAAATAATTGCTAGCATTGTTCTTTCTTTGTATAATGAAATAATTGTAATCGTAATATTTTCTTTCTCTTTTTATTTAGAATGGGGTCATCTTTGGACCGTTTATTATTTTACCGTTTATGATGTTCAGTGGATTTTTTGTCCATCGCAGCGACGCACATCCTCTATTTCAATGGTTGTTTCACACATCTTTCCTCAAATATGGATTTGAAGGTGTCTTGGTAGCAATTTACGGGTTGGTAATTTGAAAAAAATATTGCAATTTTAAAAATACCGTAATCCTAACATCAGAGAACTTAAGATTATGCTTTTATTAATAGGTACGATAGGAAGAGGATGGCTTGCTCGATTGACTACTGCCATTTTTCACTGCCAACGAAATTTTTAGATACCGTCGACATGCAAGACGTCAATTATTGGTTTAGCGTTTCTATTCTTATAGGTCTTTACTTTGTACTCAGTCTCATTGCATTTATTACATTGAGCATTAGGATGAAGAGACGCTGGTAATGTGAGAAGAGAATACATGAAAATAAATAATTACTTTAATTATGGAAATTAGTAAAATGAAAGACGCGGATTAAGTATATCAAAGAGCGTACTTAACAGAACAGTATGCCAGAATGATTTCAACGTCATTCGAGGAATGACTAAAATCAAAATCTAGTCATTAAACCGCAGCGGATCCAATCGATTGTACGGTGTACAATAATTGTCTAATGCCATGGCATTAAATTTCTATATAAATCATTGTGAACTTTTATAATTATATATATATATTTGCTCAATCTTTATTAAGATTTATATAAATACACTATGTATTTTTGCGTAATTTTATACGAACATTGACATATCGTTAGAAAGATTCTTCGCCTTCTAAACAACTATCACTAATGCTCATAGAGTATGGCTGTTCGTCCTTTTTAGCTGAAGCTATAAAGAAATTAATTTTTTTTACGAATCAAGCGTTCAATATTATGGTACTTGGTATTAAGCTATGTCTATTGTCTGGTGTTAGCTATAGGCTCTTCAAATGACTCCATAATGTTGACGCTATCTATGCTTGCGTTTGATATCTCAGAACAAATATGTTTGATTCTGTCGATTTAAATCATTTGATAATTATTCGTTTGTGAGATCGTAATTAAAGTATCCTATATAGGTACTATGTAGCTAACATTACAATTAATGACTAAACTTTAAAGACTGTCATTTTTCGTGAATGGCAGGTTTAGACTTTTTTTTTGGAAATCAATATTCACTTTTGTACTTAAGAGTGCTTATATGTGTATTGTACTTACGCGTTAACAGGTTTCCTGCCGACAAAAATGACAACGAAAAAAAGTGGCCCATTAGGGCTATATACAAATTTAATAAATCTATTTTAAAATATTTATGGGATATCACGCTATAAATTTCATTGTAATATAATAAATAGGACAAGTATAGATTCGTACGAAAGAGCTACTTTTTTATCCGGCTATATTACACTTGGATGCTAATACATCCTTAGTTATTAAATTGCATTTTTATAAATATTTAAAAGTATATCGGCGAGAATAATTGTGATATGAATTTGTTTCAAATAATACACAACACTGCCAAATACAATAATATATCAATATACTTGACTCGGGATCATTCTTACCAATAAACAGTCTATTATTAGGTAAAAATTTTTAAATTAGACATTATCTAGATAAAACAAACTTTTTATAATAAATACTTACCTCCATCCAAATAATATCGTTTAATTAAATCGTATTCGACTGCAACGTTTTCACATTGTGATACATATTTTTCTTTTATCGACATCCAGGCGATGTTGGTATAGATGGTTAGTCTTCGTGGAATTGTTCCGTGTCTCAAGAGAAATATATGGAATTTGAATAGCTTCCAGAATTTCAATGCTAATTCCAACATATATCCCGTGTAGTGGGCACGACTAACAGAGATGAGCAGGGAGATGTACAACGCTCCGGTTTTCGGCGGTACCAAAATCATGCCGCTAAATCGTAGCGGCAAGTC